ACGTGCTCGTAAACGAATAACAAAAGCCAATTAGTACAAAGACCTAATTGATCATGCCGCCCTTACATACACAACTTAAGCAGCTGGTACAAGCCAACTGGGCGCTGGTCATGTTTTGAGTTTGTAATACACCCGCAGATGGTATATGTTGTAAGCATCACCTGTCTAATAAGCACACCCCCTACTGCAAATTCAATAAGTGTCCCCTTTCTTCAGAGCTCCCAATAGCGAAAGTGACATTCAAGACATTAACATTGAATAGACTGATTAGACGAATGAACTAAGAATGAATTCTAAACGTAATATTGACTTACTGAACTTAATCAAAGTTCTTGAGTTGAAGTATCTCTTTTCATTAAAGTATTGTTCCACCTTGGGATATGTAATGAATCAAAAACAAATAAACGTCCATCCATTGTAAGCGCCCCCTCTTCAATTAAGGAGCTCCCTTAAACTAGCAAAAGTGAATAGCGCCCCAAGCGCTATATTATAGCATAACGATAACCTTCCTCTCAGTTCTATGTAAGTTTATACACCTGTAAAGTTGCATACCCTGTGAGAGATTCCCTTCTATCACTGCTCAGAGAAAGAGAAGAGAATCCTTGTCTCGCAGGATAGTTGAAAGTGCTAACACTTATCTTAACTTTTTCTCTCCAATCTGTACAATTCCGTCACATTTTCCTTTAACTATGAAAAACGCAGTATTAAAACAAGAAATGCTTTAGATTTTGTGATCGCTCCAAAGACGATGTCCCTGATGTGGAGGTTACGTTTTATTGGCAAACTCGATTTCGTGTGGATCCCTTAGAGCTGGTACAGCTACAGCATATCATTCTCTGAAGCTTTTCTCGGAAGGTTTTGTTAACCAGAGCGTACACAAATGGGTTGGCAGCAGAACTGAACAGTACTAGCATATGAATGATAGCAAATGCGAGTTCACTGACACTGACAGATGTGAAGTAGTCTAAGCTGTGCGCAATTACGTCAGGCGCCCAACAGATTCCAAATATGGCAGTGACAGTTACCCCCATCAAAGTGACTCGCTTCCGCACTCTCAGGACGCCCTGTGTG